GGCAAAGTGACAAGAGATGGAGAAGGTCATGGATGGCCTAATTGTCTATAACAGTATTCGAACCAAGGACCATCGAATCCACTGTCTGGCACACTAGTTACTGGGCTATGCCCATCCCAAGTAGTTATGCATTATTACTGATATTGATTGTTTCTTACGTATAGAGGGATTTGACTAGACTACGGTTTTGTGGTTCTGGCCAGGTGAATAAATGTCAATATTGAAGCCATAAACAATAAGAAGAACCAATTTAATTAACAACAGTGCAGATTTTAGTTTCCTCGTAACATAAAACAAATATCGATAAAAAATTATGATAACGAGTCCTTGTTTTCGATGGTCAAATTTAAATAGAAAGGTCAATTTTGACCTAGGTTATCATAATTTTCCATTCTTCCTATTACATCCTATCAAAGTAAGAACGTAACATAATATCAAACTACCTTTCAAAATCGAATAACAATACAATAAAATTAAATCTTTCCATGTGTAAATAATAAGTTGTTTGAAATGAAATGACGCAAATCAAAATACAACACTTATAACATATAATAAAGACAAAATACTATTTGAAAATTATATTTCTTATAACATAGCGTACATACAACGAAATTGGAAGCATTCAGGGTAGCATGTTATAAGACTAACAATACATCAGAATTCCTTTATAATAAACGTAATGGAGTACTACGTATAAGGCCAAGTAAAATTGTAGATGAAATCCACGTAAATGATATACAATATGGGAGTGCTTGAAATGAAATGGTAAGTTTCTCAATTCCATAGAAAAACTTGTTGATATTTTATTGTTCCGTGTATTCAAACAGGTTATTTATCTAAAAGAAAGAATAATTATTAAAACGCTTATTCTGAAACACTGGCGACTTGTTTACACGAAGGTAATAGATTTCTTAAATCAGCACAGTAGTTCTCCATCTGTGGTTGGTAAACCATTAGTGGTCTTCAAAAAGGTTGTATATAACCACGAGAAGGAAGTAGCAGTATAGCGTGTAGATCCCCTTGTGGCTCACCGAGATAATAAATTTAATATAAATTTCAGGTGGTCTTCAGAAATCTTATTATCGTGGTTTTATTGAATTTGCGATAATAATAGTACACCCAACAAACACGGTACGTGAATATAAAATAGCAATAAACTACATATACGAACAAATATATGCAAGCGATAAAATGATACAACCAACGTTCTAAGTTGATGTGTTTTATTTCTTGCGACGATTCAGATACTTGTCATTCGTCATGTTTCACTTCGGCACTACACCATCTTCCATCATTTTCGAGTCCGAATATGCTGGAGTTCTTAAACTAAGCCTAACGATTGCTACGAAACGTCGCAACGGCAATA